GTTCGCGGTCATGAACAGACCCGTGTTGCGGAGTTCCTTGGATGCGACCGAGGGCCGACCTGGAGCTGCAGCAACCACCGGTACACAGATAGCTATTTTGAACACGCGGGCTGAAGTCGTTGGCTTGGCGACCGACGCAAAATGTTGAGTGGTTCGATGTTGATGTTGATTGGATGACTCGTGGTGCCAACACTGGTCGTTCAGTTTTGTGTATATCTTTTGTGTTTTTTCAAGTAACGCCATAACAGCGTTCGATCAACTAGTTCTAGATAATATTTTGCTGATCGGTCATATTTTGGCTTAGTTAAGGTGACGATATTTCCACGGTCCTGCAGGGTCGAAGCGCGCTCCGGCTTGCTGTTTGCTCTGTGTTTGACGTATTTGTCACGCAAGTGTCTGTCGCTGGCAACGTTCAGTGTTCGCGCCGATGATGCTGCTTTTTAGCGCTCGGCACAGAATGCACCTCGACAATTAGAGGCACGTCGTGCTCTCTGGTGGCCATTAAGAAGATGAGATCTCGCGGTCGCTTTTTCCCAGCCTCTACGAAATGCCGCCGCCTCCAGGCTCTCCACCACTGCGGCTAACCGTGTTGCATGCGGCGACAATTTTATGTGTTCGTCGGTATTCCGAGTTGTTCGGATGCGGGATCGGACTGTTTTGCTCGAAACACACCCGACTTGCACTTCTCTGCCAGAGGGTCAGAGTCCAGGTGCCTGCGTACGACCTCGCGACCTCGCGCGAGCTATGACTCAGCGAATGGGGTCCTGGATGGATTTCTCCGTGCGCACCCAATGACTAAGTGCTTGTGCAAGCAATTTCATTAATCAAATGGACATGTTGGAACACCTCTCGAACGCTCAATTTGCGCAGGACGCACGCGTACGAACGCGAATAAATGACAAACAACGTATTGATTAATGTTCATCTTTATGGTGGACCCGGGGCAATTACCGAGGTCTTGCGAAACCGCGTAGCCGCCGTTTGGGATGTTGGACACACTCAGCTGCGATGACGGCGGTGCATCCTAAGTTGTGCGGTAATGGCTCATATGGCTCATAGGGTAGCCCAGCGGAGCTACTAATCGAGCCACCCTCGTTAATATATTCGCACGTTCAACTTACGTCAAGGCAGGGTATTGGACGACAAAGTCTATCTTTGCCATCTCTTCCAAGTCCTCCTGCCACTTAGGGATGTTCAAATCTTCGAGGTAGTCAGCGGTAAGCTTGAAGCCGACATCGTGAGCAAGACGCAGGTAAGATTGACAGCACGTTACGGCCTTGGACATTTTGTCGCCCATGCACTTGCGACCTTAGTAGCTGCTCTTCTGAAGGCACGGAATCGCGAGGTAGTCCATTATCATTTGAGGTCAGTCAAATCAAAAGAAATCGTTAGCAGGCCGATAACGTTTCCTTTGGATTTGACTGAACTCTTTTTTTGGTACATGACCGGAAACTCGGCCTTGTGCGACCACCACTTCATGATGTGGGGTAGGAGGGCGTAGGGCGCGAGATCGTTGTCAGCAACGCCAGTCGACTCGACCCGGCCGAAAATATCGATGACGTCGTCTTTGTTTTTGGTCTCGTCATCTTCCGTGACATCGATGAGGCTTGGGACAGCGGATAAGTAACCCGGGTGATGACGACTTTCGACCGGTTGAAAGTCGTCATCATCCATAACACGAGCAACCCTCGGGTCCATGAACTTGGCAATGATGGCGACGTTGTTGGGCAAGTCCGTTTGATGGTCAATCATACGACGGTAAGGCTTGGACCCGCGGCTCGATCAGCTTATCCGGCTCATATCGGCACGGCCCGGCTTGACCCCGGTTCGGAGCTGGATCGAATAAATGGAGCCTGAGCCGGTCACTTTGTGGCTCAAGCCGCGGCTCAGCTGTTGGAGCCGAGCCGCAGTGACCCATACGCGCGCCAACGAGGACAAGCCCGCGAAAGCCGCACGCCAGGAGAGCAATCGCAAGAGCCATGCAAAGGCGCACGCCATCTAGTACACCCAAGACAGCGCGCCTCGAGAAAGAGCTATAAGTTCGCGCCGCTGCGCTCACGCTCATCGACACCTCCAATGACAGCAGCGGCACCTCGCACGGTGGGGCAGTTTCGCCGGCGCTGTCAAGGACGAGTGGCTCGGCAAGGCCATTCTCCTCAAGGACTGCGAATTTGAGCAGTTCTTGAGCCACAACCTCAAAAGCTGCGGCAAGACGTCCATATCTGTCGGTCCTCCGTTCCGTTGAAGAAGTATGTCTACTGCAATGGCACGATCGATCTACGGCTGCGTAGCCGTCGACACTTGTGGACATAAAATAAGTGTTTGACGAAAGTATTTTGTGAACACCAAAGCAGTCCGATATACATTCCTACCAGACCCCTGGACGTCAACCTTGTAATGTACCGCCGTACCAGCCGCTCGATTGTTCATACTTCGCCATCCGCAAGGGCGATGGGCGGACCTTTGGATTCTAGCGTAATTAGTAATATGCAAGGAGCTCCGAGTTGGGATTTTCAGGCCTGCTGATCTTGTTCATCGAGTCCTGTTTTGTGACCCGCCTACCCAAGTTTCCTGGCAGGCCAGACAAGGAGAGCTGGGATCAGACTTCAATCAAGAAAACTAGAGCTATTTACTCGGCATTTTCTGTATCGAGATGCGCTCGTGAGAGCCGTGCCGGGGATTTCGAGGTCGTCTCTGTCCCCATTTCTGCTGCTTTCGAGCTCTTTGTCACCTTCGTTTGCGGGTGTTGTCTGGTGAAGTCTGTGAGCGCCTTGCCAATAGCTGGACCGCGCCACTCTACTGTGCAGTGCACCTCCTTTTGCCTTGGTAAGAGCGGCTTTTGGGCGGTGCGCGTTTGGGTGCTTGGGCTGCATACTGTCCCTCGACTACCAGCACGCTTTGTCTGGACATGTGCCACTGCACCAGACTAGATTGCCGTACATGGAGACTCTTGCGAACAGGCTCAACGCAAAAGGTGAGCACTGAAGTTGGGCCGCCGATCGAGCGCGCAAGAACGTGGTGCAGAGAAGCTCAAACTGCAATCGAGGACTGTTTTCGAATTTGGGATCATGCCACCGCGTGCGATGCCATCGAGAGCGGCGCGTTCGCGCTCCGTATTGAAGCATCGATCACAACAGTACCTATGCCTTCTCATTGCAAAGTGGGAAGGATACCCGATCCGAACGACGTTTCGAGATCTTTCGGCATTTTCAATTTGAAGCGACGCATGCCACCCAAGCCAAAGGCTTCGTCGCCGACGAAAAAGAAGGCCAAAGAGGCCAAGACGTTGGATGCGATTGCCTCGGATGCACCCAAGGGCGACGTGCCGGCACAAGCCACCGAACCCGACGACGCCGACATTTACCACGAGCCAGTACGCAGCCGCGTTTGATGACCAACGACGATACGTGGGCGTAGGTCAAGAAGATTGTGATCCCAGACAACCAGCTACGCCTCAACGAGCAAGAGCTCAAGGAAGAGTTCTCGCGGTATGTCATCATGAGTCGATCATCGTCGAGTGCCCACGGATACCCCCAGAGTCCTCACGGCCAACGACCCGAACGTGCCCAATAACATTACCAAGTACAACTACAAGGAGCGCATGTACAAAGTGGACCCCCCGGGACCCGGCGACAACTTGCATCTGCACCTCGCGCTCGAAGGCTCCATGATCCACAAGGAGTCGGAAGACGCCAAGGCGCAAGCGGCGTACGACATGAAAAAGGCCGAGGAAGAGAAGGAAGCACGGGACGCTGCGATTAAGATTGCCAAGGAAGAGGCCGAGGCCAAAGGTGAAAAGCTAGACGAGACGGCGCTCCAGTTTGAGTCGGGGAAGAATCAGTTCAACTACAGTGAGCGGGCAGCTCAGACGTACACGAACCCACTGCGGCAGCGGTCGGTGGAGACAGAGCCGCCACCCGTACTCAACTACATGGCCACCGTGACGCAGGTAGTATCGAAGCGAATTCTTTTGTCTCAGTTGCATTTAGTGGGATATCTACGACACGTACATGGATGCGTACGAGCAGCACCAGCGCGAGCAAATTCAGCTCCAAAAAGCGGCCCAAAAGAAGGAAAAGGAGGAGAAGGACGGTGGTGACGTCGCCGTGGCCGCCACTGCGGCGGTTGCCAGCACGGGCGGCGCCAAAAACAAGGACGACGACATGGTCCATAGCGCCGCGATGGGCAAGATTCTCCGCGTCATCGAGCGCATGGTCAACCAGAACGCCGAGGACGAGATCTTTCAAGATTTCAAGTACTGGGAGGACGCGTCCGATGCTTTCCGCGAAGGCGAGGGCTCCCTCCTCCCTCTCTGGCGCTTTGCGTCCGACCGTGCAAAGAAGAAGCAAGTGACGGCCGTGTGCTGGAACCCATGCTTCTCAGACCTCTTTGCTGTCGGGTACGGCTCGTACGACTTTTTGAAGCAGGGTTCGGGCCTCGTGTGTTGCTATACCCTCAAAAACACATCGCACCCCGAGTTCATCTTTGCGACCGAGTCGGGTGTCATGTGCCTCGACTTTCATCCGCAGCAGCCGGCGCTTCTGGCCGTTGGCTGCTACGACGGCACGGTGCTTGTCTACGACGTCCGTAACAAGGTGAACCGGCCCATCTACACGTCGACCATCAAGACAGGCAAGCACACCGATCCCGTGTGGCAGGTCAATTGGCAGGAAGAAGACCTCGCGAAGGAGCTCAATTTCTTCTCCATCTCATCCGACGGCCGCGTCGCCAACTGGATCATGAGCAAGAACGAGCTCAAGATGGAGCCGGTGATGCAGCTCAAGCTCGTCAACACGGTCAAAGACGACCCGGAGGAAACGTCGCTCTCGGGGTTGGCGGGCGGCTGCTGCTTTGACTTTAACCGCTTCAGCGAACACCTTTTCATCGTCGGGACGGAGGAGGGCAAGATTCACAAGTGTTCCAAGGCCTACTCGGGCCAGTATCTCGAAACGTATGCGGGCCACCACATGGCAGTCTACGCCGTGCGTTGGAACCCGTTCCACGACCGCTGCTTCCTCTCGTGCTCGGCCGATTGGACCGTGAAGCTCTGGGACCACAGCCTTCCGGACCCGATCATGTCGTTCGATCTTGGCAACTCAGTTGGCGACGTGGCCTGGGCGCCGTACTCGTCTACGGTGTTCGCCGCCGTCACGAGCGACGGCAAGGTTCACGTCTTTGACCTAGCCGAGAACAAGAACGAGCCGCTCTGCGAGCAAAAGGTGGTCAAGCGCGCCAAGCTTACGCATGTGACCTTCAACACGCGCGAGAGCATCGTGCTGGTCGGCGACGACCGCGGCGGTGTTAACTCGCTCAAGTTGTCGCCCAATTTGCGCAAGATCGCAGTCGTTGACGGAGAAGACGTCGCGACGGCCCTTCCTCTCAAGCTCACGAAAGACCGATTGCACACCGAGCACGAAAAGGTCGAGAAGCTTCTGAACACCAACGACAACAAGGCCTGAATGAGCACGTCATCGTCGCCAGCACTTGTACATAATTCCGAACAGATAGTCTCGCTTGGATAATTCGATTTGGACAAGAACTCTTTCCTGTACACGAAAATATTTTAAATAAGAAGCGGCAGCACGGCTACTCAGCAAAATGCTCGTCTCCGTAGTCGGCGCCGTCCTCGTCCGCGTTCTGTCCGTCGTCAAAGCCGTCGTCTGCGTACGCGATCTCCAAGTGCTCGTCTTGAAACTCGGCGTGGTAAACATCGTCATGAGGATCTTCCCGCGGCGTGTCGTCCTCGTAGTCGTCGCCGCCTTCGTAGTCATCGCCTTGACCATCTCCGCTCAGTTGCTGGGCTGCAGTGACGGCTGCTGCGGTGGCCGGCGACTCGCTGCTGTCCTCATCGTCGCTGTAGGCATATCCGACATCGTCGACGGGTGCTGGCATCGTGTTGCTGTCATCTGGTCCTTCTCGAAAGCTGACGTCCTCGCCTGTGATATTTGACGGTACGTCATAAGGCTTTTTCGTCTCGGTCGGGCTGTCTTGGTTCGTCTCCTTGGTCAAAGGGTAATCGTCGTTGTTTGTATGTACATTGCTGTTGTCCAGATCATCATCGTAGACGTCAGCTTCGTCATCGGCTGGTTCGAGCTGCTTGCGGCCTGCAACCTCTGCAGACACCGGCTCTGAAGGTTCTTCGTCGTAGTAGCTGGACTCTTCGTCACCAGCGGCCGCAATCTCTGGTGCCGTGGCACCTCCGGTAGGCTCATCACCATCGTCATATAGATCGTCTTGGTGGTCCATGCTCGGTGACTGGTACCCTGCGCCTCCATCACCCACAGGCGCGATGCCAGGCCCTATCATACAGCCCTGTGAGCTTTACGCTGATGTGTTCAAAGCCCTAAGGCACAATTGCCACCTGGCTGCGTGCTGAGTATTTCTCCTGCGCCGTCAGTGGTGTCATTGACCTCGTCGTACTCCCTGTCGAGCGTGGTAGTGGACACCGCCGTAGTAGCGTCTGCGTTGGAGCTGCTCGCATCCTCTTCAAACTGGACGGTCTTTTCGTCCGGCGAGATGGGTGGTTTCGTAGGCGATGTGCGCTCAACGACCACGTGGTGCAACCCCGCTGTCAGTATAGCAGTCGCGAGGGTTTGCGCGACACCTTTCAGCGCCGCGGGCTTGACATCGTCAAGATCAACCGGGACGCTTGGCGGTGCCGTGTCAGCAGAGTCCAGCAGCTCCAAGGTGTTGTCGTCGTGTCTGTCAACCGTGCTAAGTGTATCGGCATTGTCTGACTTCAGAGCGTTGGGAGCGCCTTGCGCAGCCTCGCCGTGCAGCACGTGGTCGACGGCAGTCAAAAGCGCAGCTTCGGCAACAACCGATGCGAGGGCGGCCGCTGTGGTGCCGCTGATCGGAACACCTGGTATGCTTGTGACGTCCGTCGCCGTGGCTTCGTTTGCAGCGTCTTCGTCACCGTGTGCTGAGCACGAACCTGTTGCTTTCTGGGCTGCGCCAGATGGCTCATACTCCAATATGTCTGTCGATGACGGCTCGGGAGCCGCGGCTGTGAGCGCACTGAGCGCTTTTCCATCCATCGCGGCAGCAGGAAAAGTTGCGTTGCACGGTGGCTCTGACGACGCATCGCTCTCGGCAGTCGCGTCACTTTGGGCCGGCGTCACGCAAACTTCAACGAACTCGGAAATGCCCGCGCACTCGAACGGCGTGGAAGGGGATGCTGAAAGTATTTGAGTCTCCTCAGTGGCTTGTGCTTCGCTTGGCGATGGTATTCGGCTACTGTGTTGACCGTCGTTGTCGGTTGTTGCGCCAATGATCCGAATGGTTGCGCTGCTGCTGGATTCCAGAAGCAGCGGTACTGCATCGCTGGCGTCGGGCTGCTCGAATGTCAACGATGGCGTCTTTTGGCTAGGCTCGGGTTCGGGCACGATCTCTTCACCTTGCGAGGGCACAACCTTGTTGCGGCGGGAACCTTTCCGCGACGAAGCCTTCTTGACGTGGATGGCGTTGCCGTCGACCTTGGTTTCGATCTCTCGCTCGCTCTTGCTGAGCTTGTGCTCCTTGCTCTTGACAAACTTGAGCCTCTACAAAATCGCGATTGCACACAAAGTCGACCAGCGCCCTCGTCCGCACCCATTTGTTGCCCTTCTTCGGGTCCTTTTGCTTGAGCGTGGGCTTGACCGTCTGCAGGCGCCGCAGCATGGCCTGGTTCTCCATATAAATTCGCTCTTGCTCTCGCTTGCGCTGGCCGTCGTGCAGCGACTTCTTGGGCGCTTTCTCATCGTCACCGCCCTTGGCCGTCGTCAGTGCGATCGTCGCAATACGCTCGAGGAGCCGCCGGTTCTCGACTTCGATGGCGTCGAGGCGGTCTTCCTTGAGCTGGCTCTTCTTGGACGTGCTGCTGCCGCCCATGGCCGCGGTCTTGGGGACAGCGTTGTCGATGAAGGGCGTCATGTGGTTCATGCGCGAGAGGTGGCCCTCGAGGTTCTTGTGCACCTCGCGGTGCCACATGGTCTCGCTTGCATGCGGCTCGGCCTTCCGCGCGCGGTCCATCCGACTCGGTCACCGCAGCGGTTTCTGCCGCGAGAAACGTCACTGGCCAAGGTATTTCGGTCGATTTCGGGTCGTCTCTCTGTCTGAGATTCAACATGCAGCAATCCATCAAGCGAACATGTATGACGTGTCTTAGTATAGGTAGACGCTGTAGGCAGTGGCGACGCAGAACAGAGTATCCTGCCCACGGGCATGAGCTACCTTTAATCACAGCGTTGAACGTACATTGGTGTACGTCTCGGTGGCGTAGCAGTCGGTCTCGGCGTCCCAGAAGCAGCGGCACCCCATGCTACGCAATCGTTCACACCAGCGTTTACTGCAGCAGGCTACCGGACGCCCTCGCCGCGCTGTTCGCCAATGACGACCTGCACGAGGTACTTGCACCGAGGAAATTCGCAGGCTATATCCACAGTACGCATAGACTTACTTACGCGGCGCCTCGAACCTTTGAGCTGGGCCTTGACGGCGTCGGCAATCTCCTTTGTGAGCTGCGACGCACGCTCCGACTGGTACGGTACGTTCTCGAGCTTCTCGGCCAGCACAGCCGAAATGATTTGCTTCATTTTGGTGGTCGTGGGCCTACGCACGCATCATCAGCGACACCATTGAGTGCCAGCCGATCACACTTGTTCTTGTAGCTCGGGCGCAGCGAGATCGCGGACGCCGCTGTCACCTTGGTTGTCGCTGGCATCGTCCGCGTCGCTTCGAAAATAAGATACGGGACTCATTTACTGTGGCAAATGCCGAATGTAGCGCAATATTTAAACGTCCGCGGCTCGGCTGCTGTTCCGGCGGGCAGCATACCGTTGCGATGCTAACAACAGCAGTGATTATGCTTGCGTTGTCAACGCGCAACTTGGGGCGTACTTGAAATGCGCTTGAAACGCGCTTCAGAACACGACTATGGACTAAACCGAGCTCTAAGGAGGCAAATGCCGAAACTAAGGCGTGAAAACCACTTGTCGCAGTGTGCCAAATCAACCGTCTGCAAGCGTCGATGGGTCTTCGCAGCCGCCAGCGCCGCCTTGCCGGCATCACCAGAGAGTCTTCTCTCGAGGCGTTCGACGAGCAAGTCAAGACGACGCTGCAAGGTACGCTCCATGCCATAGCCTCTTCTACGCACGTCGCTCACGCATCTTGGGCGTAGAGCACCTCGCGCACTCACAGAACGACGTCGCCGCCTTCAACCTTCTGTGGAAGGTACAGACATAGACCTCCTGCAGCGCACGATGGCTCATGTGTGTCCAGGGCTTCCTTGGCAAGCTCGGATACGCGCTTGTGGGTTTCGAGATCCTCTCCGTGTGGTATGCCATCTCAACGACCAGCATCCTGGGCCTGGCGCTCATTGCCGCGACCAAGATTGCATCCTGCACCGCCATCCTCCTCACCAAGACGTACGTGACAGAAGGCGACCAATATGCACCTGCCCAGACGCTCTCGGTCGGCCTCGCGCTTCTCTGGGGCGTGTCGGGGCTCTTTGGCGCAGATGATGCGTTGCGCCGCAGCACGGTACCGCTCTCGGCCATCTACTTTTCGGGCGTCGCAGCGTCGGTGTGGTTTATGGGCAGCAACACAAAGGCGGAAGTCGCTCGCGCCAAGCAGCTCGCCAAGCTCGAAACTGTGTTTCGTCAATAAGAACCCTCGTCGTCGTTTACCGGTAGCCGCCGCGGCCACGGCCTCGCCCGCGCCCGCCGCCGTTGCTACGATTGTTGTTGTTGTTGTTGTTGTAGCCTCCGCGGTTGTCGTTGGAGCTTTCGTGCTCTTCGTCGTCCTTGGAGATTGCCGACTCTTTCGGGACGCGGCCCTCGGGTTCGTTGCACACTTGGTTTTCGCCCAGAAACGTGTTGAGTCGCGCGAGGCTCGCAGCCGCGCCCGACTTGGCATCCCGCGAAAGATTGGGCAGCACATCGCGCTGGATGAGCTCCAACAGCTTTTGGAACTGCCGCTTGTACTGTGTCAGGAGCGCGAACCCTGCCGTCTAGTAGCACACAGTCGCATTGATTCAGCAATCGTAGAAGAGAGTCGTACCTCGAGCAGCGCGAGAATGGTCATGGCCGTGTACATGTGCACCTGGCCGTTCACGAGCCGTGCGAGCCAGGCCCAGAGGTCGTCAAAAGTCAAGCCCTTGGGTTGCGGACTGCCGTCGTACGGTGTAGTCTACCAACCGCAGTGATTCCAGAGTCTCCGAAGCACTCGAGTTGACCTGCATCGTCGCCGCCAAGAGCGAGATCGCCATGGTCATGCGCATCTGATACTTTTCTGCTTGTTCAGGCGCGTTGCGTTCGTCATCCCACTCCATGCCGGACGTCGCGAGGTACTCCTGAGGACTCTGGTCCGGACGCCGCCCTGGGCAGAACGGCACCGTAAACGGACACATCTACCGCGATATTCCGAGCAAGTCCAACAGCACAAGAGGTATTACCTGGTTGAGGTGCGCGACAAAGATGTCGGCAAGCTCCGGCGTGTGCACGCTGCACATGGCCGCAACATGGGCGAGCGGGAAGCACGATCTATGTACATGTAGCCTGCTGTTGAAGTGACATATGCCTACCGAATTTCGGTGAGGACTTTGACTTGGGACGTGAGGCGCCCCGCCAAAATGTCGAGGGAAAAATTGAGGTACTCGGGACCCGCAGCCCGGGCCTCCTACGCCGCGCATGTCATTTTACTTCGCAAAGGGGACAACGACGCACTGAGAGCACTTTGCAGAGCTTGGTGACGACAAGCTTGATCGATTTGGGCGTGTTGGCCACTTGGTTGCACGCTTCACCAATCTACTCGATGCTCTTAGCTTCCCACGCACAAGGGCTCAGTCCGCACCTGCTTTTTGACGTCCATGCGAATCTTCTTGACGCGCGGGTCCGCCGAGTTGAGGATGGGTTCACTTGCGGCATGCACAGCCTTCAAATGCTTCAGCCGCGCCTCGCTCTCGAGCACATGAGCCTCCTTGGCTGCCGGCGCGCTGGCTTTCTGCGCGGTGTCGGCTTTGGCTTTGGCGGCCTTGGCTTCGGCCGCAGCCTTGGCCTTGGCCGCCTCCGCGTCCTCGTTTGCCTTGGCCTCTGCGCTCGCCTTTGCCTCCTTCTCGTTGGCTTCGGCTTTGGCTGCCTCTTCATTCGCTTCGGCCTCTGCCTCGGCTTCCTTCTCAGCTTTGGCCTTGGCCTTGGCCGCTGCTTCGTCCTCTTTGGCTTTGCGCGCCTCCTCGGCAGCGCGTTCGGCCGCCAACGCCTTCTCTTTCGCCTCCTTCTCGGCCTGGACCTTGCGCTTCCAAGCTTCAACGCTGGCTTCGACACCAGAGAGATCCGCGGTCCGCGCCTGCAGTGTCTTGGCCATTTCTGCCCTCGCCTTTGCTCGCAACATCTCGTCCTGGAAGGGCTGTTAGATGCACACAAGGACATGTATCACGTTCATACCTTGCGTGCGAGATCGGCCGCAGTCTTGATGTGACACGAACCAAGCAAGCGCGTGAGCTCCTTTGCGTCGTTGAGCTCGTCAGACGACTCGTGCGTAAGCTGAGCAGACAATGCGTCGTAGCTGCTGCTCGCATGCGCCCGCTGGTACGCGCTGCGCTCACACGTAGTTGTGATATGCTTGGCGAAGATAGCGCCACCTACATTGATGGCTGTGATATCGTACGCGCTCCGCGCCGCGTCACTTGTCCTACCTTGCTCGTCGTCGTTTGAAGATAGCGCGTTGCTGCGAAGGAGCTCAGGCTGTCTTGATGGGTCTAGCGCCGGTAGAAAAGGCGCATGGCCATAGGCGAGTACTGACTGCGTCGAGAAACCGCGCGTATCATCGTCGTCCTCGAAGCTTGGCGCACGAACTCGACCCATTCTGTCTCCTTGCGCCACCAAAATGCAAAAATATAACTTCGGACTACGGACCGAACTTCGAAGCCCAAGTGGCACTAGGAGAGCATCTTATTGCTGGGTTCAACAGAACTCGACAACGGCAGCTCAATTCGTTGCGTACCGAGGTACACGCCGAGTGCTTTCAGCCCATGTGCTTGGCTCTTCCGAGCCAAAGGTCATCGAGCGAATGGCGTTGCACAGTCTCTCGAGCGGAAGGAAGCGCGAAGTCGATCCCGCCGTTTCGATCCAGCAAGATACTGACAAGCAATGATTTGGTTGGTGGGTTGCTGCACGAGCAATCAATTCGATTTGTGTGGTGAGATGGCCAAGACGGACGAGCCGATGGTGGACGCGGACGAGGACAACCCGTTCTCGCAGTACTACGGCATGCTGCTGCACCAGCAAAACATGCTGCAGGACCACGTGCGCACGAGCACGTACGAGCGCGCCATGCTCGCCAACGCCTCGGACTTTGCCGGCAAGGTCGTGCTGGACGTTGGGACCGGGTCTGGCATCCTCGCGTACTTTGCCATCAAGGCTGGCGCCAAGCGCGTGTACGCCGTCGAGCTCAGCGCGATGGCTGACTGCGCGCGAAAGCTTCTCACAGACAATGGCCTCGCCGACCGCATCATCGTGCTTCGCGGCAAGGTCGAAGAGGTTGAGCTGCCCGAGAAGGTCGACATTGTCATCTCCGAGCCCATGGGCTTCTTCCTCGTGCACGAGCGCATGCTCGAATCGTACGTCTCGGGGCGCATCAAGTGGATGAAGCCGGGCGGGCTCATGTTTCCGTCCATCGGCACGATGTTCGTCGCTCCGTTTTCGGACGACGCGATCTACCAAGAGCAGATGGGCAAGGTGAGCTTCTGGCGCCAGCGCGACTTTTACGGCCTCAACCTGAGCTCGCTCGTCGACGAGGCGATGGACAACCACTTTTCGCAGCCCGTCGTGGGGTACTTTTCGCCCTCGGTTCTCATTTCGGGCTCGACCGTGTCGCACACACTCGACTTTGGACGCATGGCGGTCGAAGACTTTCACGGTTTTGACATTCCGTTCCAGTTTACGATCAACCGCACATGTACGTGGTTCTATGTGATGCATGCAAGGTCCAACCGTTGCGTAGCCATCTTGCACGGTCTCGCGTGCTGGTTCACGGTTGATTTCATTGGGTCGACGGCCACGGTCGTGCTCTCGACGGCGCCATCCGAGACGGGCACACACTGGTACCAGTGTCGGCTCCTCCTCAAGCAACCGATCGCCGTCAACAGTTCGCAGTCCGTTTCTGGCAACCTGCACTTTGTCGCCAACAAAAAGTTCAGCTACGACATCGACATGGAAGGTACTCGCTCCATTGCATATCGAGCACCGACTGAGACTCTCATCATAGTGCGTCTGGATGGCACGACGATCACATCGACGAACCAGATTCGACTCCACGACCAAATGTACCACTACATGTACAACCCGCCGTCGTAATGACGCGGCTAACGTCTAAATCAAATGCCCAAGAGTTGCTATGTACAAGTGTACACACTAGGGCCTCGGTGGTCCCTACACTTCTTGAGCGTATATTCATTGGCGAATATGGGCATGAACTCAAGAGTCAGTCGGCAAAGCAAGTGTCCAGTCGTTCGTTCTTGGCTTCCTCAGACTCGTGCGATGACTAGCTTTGCTTGTCGGCTGTAAACTGCAGTTGGTGTCGCCGCGAGGATCGTCGCCACCCAACTCTTGTGTGACCCATTGCTTTCGATGCAGGATGAGACGGCAACAGCTCAGATACGAAATGAACCTCGGCGCAAGTGAACCAGGACAAGTGTGCGCGAGGAGTACGTGGCACGATAACAAACTGACGTGGTTCCTGCCGACATGGGGCACGTGGCTACGCGTAAATGATGACTGGCACTAGTCCGCATTCGGTCCCGTCGTCGTGTTCAAGTACAGCGATGGGCCTGCCTAGAAGCACGCACAAAAGACACGTCAAGACGGGTGGCGCAAGGCATAAACATCGTCTTCTTCGTTTCAAATGTTAAGAGCGCAAGACGACGCTTGGCCGGGGACAAGCGCGCATACAGGCGTTCACTGCCTATGCCCCGAGGGACGCGTTCCTGTGCTGGCGTACCACGGACGCGACCTCGGGCGTGCCTGAACTACATTTAATCGGTCTTCTTGCGGAACGAGCAGCCTTCGGTCAAGCGGGCCTTGCCGCCCGTGGGCTGGCAGAGCATGACCGAGCACGAGCCGCAGAGGACGACGGTCTGAGCGTGGCTGAAGACGGTCGTGCTACAAACATGGTCATGAGCAACGTGCGCCAGGCAGCTGCGTGCGCGTACATGTTGAAGCAGCCAGGGCACTTGACGTCCATGAAGAACGAGTTGGGCGACTGAACCAGGCGCTTGAGCTTGTGCTTGCTGCGTTCCTCAGAGGCGGAAGGGTGGAGAAGGTCGCGGGCCTACGCATGCGAGTTAGCATCGCCGTCGTCGTCGTCTAGGTGCTGCGTACCATGATTAATCAACTGGAGCAATACACTGGAAGAAGACGAGTGAAAAATGCGTGCTTGGACCAACCACCGCTTCAGACCAGTCAATTTCCAAGCTTGCGCGCTCTCCGGATAATTTAGCCTAGCTGAGTCTTGACTGGTCGAGAACCTTCCGCTTCTATCCGGACGAACTGTATTTTTATTGCGTCGCATACAAAACCCATATGAAGCAATAGGATTTTATTTCTTTGCTTTCGGAATGGGCCCGGCAAACCTGAACTGCCGGTAGGATGCCCATATAACGCTAGGACTTTACCGAATTTCAAAATCGGATGCGACCATCATCGACCCTAGCCATGTTGGTCGCCGAAGCCGCCATGGTCGCCGTTGGATCCAAGGCTCACCCTGTGACTTGGTGCTGCGAGGGCATCGTGTACAGCGTCTGTGGCTGGATGATCGGTACATTCAGTGTATGTCATGGTACACCGTCTCTTTGGTAATGAGCTGCGTTGTTGGTGCTGGTGCTGCATGGCCCGGTCCATGGAGATGGCATTGCATCTCTCCACCTTGATGCCTGTTACAAGGATGGATGCGGTACCACTGCGGTTGAAATGAGCACGACACTTCGCATGCACGTGAGCTTCGAGGCCACGCGATGATCCCTACCACCATACACATTGCCTGAGAACGATCGAGCTTGCTGGCGTCCAATGTCGCTTGTGTTGCATAGAGCAACAGCACTCGTAGATGCATGCATGCAGGTCCATTCTGGTCAAATCATGGTCGTACCGTGTGTAATCCAATCCAATTGGCTATAATACCACGAATTGCACCAATCAAACGCAAGCAATTCCCAGAGAGCATTTGGCGGGATTTGGAATTCGACCGACGATGCCAACGGATCTGCGGCCACCGACGCTGGCGACGCTGGACGAGCGCTCTTCCGTGGAGGACGACGTCCTGCGTAGTATCCGCATGGACCTCGACGCCTCCGAGACCATGGACCAAGCCTTCCTCGCCTACGATGCGCTCGTTGCCCAGGATCCCTCGCTGGAGCCCGAGGTGAGAATCGCGCTCGTGTCCAAGTCTACCTGTGCATGTAGATGTCGGTCGTTGTCATGAAGACGCTCCTTGCTAAGGTTGTCTCAGCAGACGATTCCCCCATGGACATGCAGCAGCGCCTTGGAGAATTCGCTCAGCGGACGTACTCCCAGTCGCGACCAAGCCTGGACACACGCCACCTGAGCTTCATTAACTCCACGTTCCACGATACCTATGCGCTCTTTACCTCGATCACAGAGAACGACCCACGACGGCTCTTCCTCGTCCAGCTCTGCAGCACGCTCTCCGAGTACTACTTCAACCTCACGTCGCCAGCCGATGACAACCCCGACACAATTGCATCGATCGCGTACTGCCGTGACGCCTGGCTGCGTTTCATGACCTTTGCCCGCGTGGACACACCCACGCCGGATCTTGCGCTCATGGCTTGCATCTGGAAGGTAAGCAACCAACACCAAGGACCGACAAGATCAATGGTGAACTAGACCGTCACGCGTCTCTGTACGATGTACCGAAGCGTCTTCACCAAAAGCGAAGCCGGCCTTCCAGCGTCGTTGTATCGCACACTCGAAGCCTCAGTCGAGAGCCAAGTCGCTTGCCTCAGTACGCAACTCGGCCTGCTCGAGATCGCCACATCCATCAACTTGATCAAGGTATCATCAGGTCACTGACAAACGAATGTTGCGCAACCGACATCACTCTAGACTCTGCGACTTCTCGTGAAAGCCTATGTCGGTCTCTTCGGCTGCTTTGCCGACTCTCTCGGCCCCAACAAAGTCAGCATCGATCTGCATCGCGTGTTGGCACTCATACGTCTACCTGAATAGTACAATGACCGTCTCGACTTTCTCAGCAAGTTGTCCGCCAACATCTTTGAGATGCAGTTGCGTCTTGGCCAACACAAAGCTGAGATTTACCTTATGGTCGAAGTTCTCCGTGCCGACGCGATGACGGTCCTCAGCAAAGTGCTCGGCCAACCTCGCCTGGCTCATGCGCCTCTCAAGCCGTGGTGCCGTGTCCAACTTGAGTCTAGCCATGTCTCGTCGACGGCAGATCTGCCTTCCTTCTTTCGCATCTGCATCTTGCTCCAGTCGCACACGCTACTCTTGGAGCGACCCGAACTCATTGTCGTGAGCCGCACCCTAGACCAGCTGATGCAGTACTTCCGCTCTGTCACGGCACAGATACCCACAACGCGTCGCTCTTACCTCTCGGGGGTTCTTATCGAGCCAGTCATTATGCTTGCATTGTCGGCTCCTCCTCCAGCCGAGGTGTTCAAAACCCAGGTAGCCATGCGTCCCAGCGTTTCGTACTAACAAATACGTAGCTGCAATTGCTCTCATATTCGTTCCATCCCAACGTCTACCAGCAGCACCTGTGCCAACTAGTGTGGCGCCACGTCTTCCAAACAACATGGTACAAAACACACGGAACTTGAATTCAACAAATTTGTGTGCCTCAAAGGAAGGATTCCGCGCCAGGAGGTGTTGCGTTCGTCGACTGCTTGCTGAAGATGCTCACGGCGCCCTTCCAAGCGTTCCCGCAACCGAGCGACAACCGCTTTTCACTGCTTGACCTTCTTGCGAGCATCTTTGACGTCCTCAGTCCTACCCAACAAGTGACTGCGTCCGGCAACTTCTACTTTACGACTCACAATGATGTTTATAGACCCAGTGCCTGAGTGGCGCCGTAGCGACATTTGAAGGGCTTTGCGGTGATGGGCCCGAACACCAAGTGACGCCAGCGTTTCTGGCCCACATCGACATGCTCGAGCACTTGCTGCGCACGACGGCGGGCCAGGCGCACGCAGCGAGCGCGGCCTTCGTGGCGACGCACTTGTCGGTGTCTATGGAGTGCTTTGGGACGGCTGTCGAGTTTCTTGCGGACGGTACTGAGGCCGAGCTTGAGAACGCTTTCTGGCGCATCATCGACGCGACTCTTCTCGTGTGTGCCAACATCCTCTTTGGCACTGGCGAGGTCCCCCACGTCCACCGCGAGTTGATTGGCGATGCAGCGTCGTGGATGCAGCCGCTTGTCATCAAGCTCGTGGAACTTCTCGCGCGCCAGCCGCCTCGGGCAGAGTACGCACGACGCTTCCGCTTAACCAGGTCCAAACCGCCTCGTTGCGTAGGGAAATTTTTCACCGCGTGCTCTCGAATGCGATGGAGCTTATCTGGGTGCTGCATCGGTCGCTCAAAACAAACTCTGGCAACTACTACCTCGCGCTGCTGCAGCACGTGCAGCACATTGCAGCGACGCACGCCTCCGCGCACGTTTTGGTTGCGCACTTTATGCACGTTCTCGCCGACGTCCAGGTTCCAAGCGATGCACCAACCGACCACGTACGTCGCAACTCGCCTTGTACGGAAGCAACACGTTTGGCTAGAAAATGGTCGGCGATACTCTTTGCGCTATTTTTTCGACGCTGCTTCAGTACCCGTCGCCTTGGCCCGTCGTCGCGACAGCGTTGCGTGCGCTCCATAAGTTCCTCGCTTCGTCCAACGTCGCCGACTCCAACACGGTGGCAATTCACGAGCTTTTGCTGCGGTACTCACTGACGCTCCACGACTTTTTTGCCATCGTCATCGACCCGCCGGCACCGTCTGTACGAACACACTCTACTTCCATGTCCTACATTTTGTTTGTTTATAGCGCGACTTCGTTGACGGTTTGGGGCTTCTGATGTACCAACAGGACAGCGTCTTTGAGAAAAATCAACCGACGCGCCACGCACCCTTGGTCAAGAAGCGGGCCGCAGCAACGATCGACGATCTCCTCGAGACGTGCCACGCAATCAAGCGCTTGCACACGACGCACAAAAGCGACCCACAAACAGACGCAGCGTTCGAGCACGCGGCGTCCGCGCTCCAGACCGTCCTCGACCTCCACATCGATCACTCGTAATGCAAACGGTGCTTTTTAGTTAGGTCTTCCTACGACGTCTACGGTATATCTATCGAAACGAAGTGCCAAACGAGTTGAAAAATCCCTTTTCTATCTTGCCCTGGGACAGATCCTTCTGCCGTCGCTCTCTATGGACGCCCATGAGATGATTCCAAGACCGAGTGTTGGCTACCGTTCTTTGGCTTCGTCGGCTTGGCGTTTGAGCGTCTGCTGCACTTCGAGCGTCTGCTGCACACGCTTCTTCTCCGCCTCGTACTCGTATTGCGCCATTTGTCGCCGAAGCAGGTCTTGCTGCCGCGACTCTTCGAGCTCCGCGTCGCGCTCCTTCTCGCGCTTTGCTTGTTTTGCCGCAAGGATTGCCTCGTTGGAGAACACAACAGCTTTAGCTTGCTCTGGGGAGAGGCCCTTCCAGTGGTCAACGCGGACGCGCCCCGACACGTCGGTCTTGGCCTGAAGCGGGTTCTCGCTCACGAGCGCGCTTGACACGGTCGCCTGGATCTCGCTCTGGTCCATGTCCAGCGTTCGGGCACGTGCGCGACTGTTGTTCAAGCGCTGGCTGGCCAGCATCGCTTCGTTGAACTTGCGCACTTCAAAGGCCTGCTTGGTCTTTTCCCGCTCGTACTCGGTCTCGGCTTCGTCCTGGAGCTTGCTCACTTGCGCCATCGTGTCGGCGTACGCGCGGGCGTCGTCGCACTCGGCCTGCAACCGCGCCTGGCGCTCCTGCATCTGAAGCTGCGCCCAGTCGCGGTTCTGTGCCGCCTGAAGTCGATGACGTTCGTGGCGGCCACGGTCTTCGCCGTCGAATTTTTGCGCCGACGAGACGTTGCAGCCATCCACGCTGATGGCCGCAAAGTCCTTGGTACTGCGGGCGATATCAGCCTCTCGACGCTCGTTGCGCGTTTGTGACTGCATCGCCCAGTCGCGCCGGAGCTTGGCGGCCTCGTCGCGCTTGGCCAGCGTCTCTTCGGCTTCAACGCGAATGAGGTACCGGCGCAGGTCTTCTTGCTCCTGGACTAGACATCCAACTCGATTACAACGACGTGCGGCGGGGCATATGCACAATACATTGTTTCTCTTCCTCGTCAGCTTGCTGTTGAGCGAGCTGTTGTTTCTCTGCGATTTGGTTCTTTACACCGACAATGTCCGCCTACTCCAGATCCATGACGAACGCAAGGCAACAACAAGGACGTACGCCAATGTTGCGGAGGCGGCCGTCGTGGAGCTTCTTGACGCGCTCTTGGTCGCGCGCCCGGCGAGCTTCGGCACGTCGGACGTCGACGTCCTCGCTGTTGAGCACCATGCTGTTCTCGGTTTGGCTCTGAAAACCGCCTGCCATGTATTTTGAGCCACGCCGTTAAAAGATCTCGACGCACCAATCAAAAACGACAAAACAAAAAGAAATCACCGATTGGGTAAAAATGCGAGCGTCAGGCGGTCAAACTTTTGCTCGTCCTTCGTCTACCGCCTCAGTTGAGCTGTACTAAATGCTGGATGCATTGCACGTGTTCTCCGTAGGCAAAGGCGAACAGCATCACACTGATTACGCGGCATCCGGGTAGGCGACTTCATGTGTTTCGTCCTTGGCGGCCTCGTACTCGGCGATCGTCACGTCGCCGCGAAGCAAGACTGGCTGTTTGGCGCCAAAGATGACGTCACCGTCGACGTACACAGCGCGCACATGCTGCATGTCGGGCACGTGAAACATGGTGTCCATGAGTGTGCGCTCAAAGATCGCGCGCAGGCCACGCGCACCCGTGTTGCGGCGCACAGCGAGCTCTGCGATTGCATCGAGACCGCACGGCGTCACGTGGAAGTCGACGTTGTGGAGTGCAAAGAGGGCACGGTACTGCTTGATGAGCGAGTTCTTGGGCTCACTCACGACGCGGACAAGTTCGTGGCGGTTGAGGCCAAGCGTGCTCACAAGGACGGGGAAGCGCCCGACAAACTCGGGAATGAGCCCGTACGCCACGAGGTCCTGCGGCTCGGACTGCGTCAGGAGCTCGCCGACGCGGTCGAGGTCCGTCACTTTCGTGTCTTTCATCTGCGACTCAAAGCCGATGCTCGCGGTCGCGGTGCGGCGCGAAACAATGTGCTCGAGACCCGCGAACGCGCCGCCGCAGATGAAGAGGATGTTGGTCGTGTCGATCGCAATGAACTCACCGCGCGGGTTCTTGCGGCCGCCCTTCTCGGGCACGTTGACCGTGCAGCCTTCAAGCATCTTGAGCAGCGCCTGCTGGACGCCTTCGCCCGAGACGTCGCGCGTGATGCTCACCTACCACACTACTGTAATGTTGGCGCCATCATACTCGTCAACAAACGTTTTCGCTCTTGCGAGAAATCTTGTCGATCTCGTCAATGTAAATGATGCCCTTCTGCGCCGCTTCCAGGTCAAAGTTGGCCGCTTGGTAGAGCTTGTACAGAATGGACTCGACGTCCTCGCCCACATACCCGGCCTGCGTGAGGCACGTGGCGTCCGCGATCACAAGCGGCACTTGCGCCAGCCGCGCGAGTGTCTTGGCCATGAGCGTCTTGCCCGACCCCGTCGGCCCCACAACGAGGATGTTGGTCTTGTCAATCTCGACACTGTCGTCGACAGCAACTGTTGGCGTCGTCGGAGGCGTTGCACCCTCGGCGGCGACTACGCTTGGCGGCACGGCAATGGCTTCGAGCTGGATGCCGTGCTTCACCGACTGGTAGATGGCCGGCTCATCCACCATGGCCGACACCCGCATCGAGCGCGGGTGACCGTCATCAATGGGCACCTCTGGCGGCTTGAAGTTCATACTCAACCGCTTGTAGTGGTTGTGTACGCCAACCGCGAGCGCCTTCTTGACGTTCTCTTGGCCGATGACGTACTTGTTGAGGCCGTCGTAGATCTCGCGCGGCGTGAGCACTTTGGGCGCCGGTGCCGGTGGCGTGTTGACGCGCTGACTGTCGTTCAAGAGCCGATCAAAGTCGCTGTCATCTACAACCCCACGATGAGTCGAGATTCATCATATCCACGGAAGCCGACTCGAGATGCGAAGACGGGGTGTCGACTGGAACTGCGACGACGGCGTCTGGAACATGGAGCCAGCATGCGGCGGGTCGGCCGCGAGCGACTTGACGGCAAAATACGTTTTGCAACCTTCGCAGCCGACAATGTCACCGGGCTCGAGCTGACGCGACGTCAACGGCAACGTTGTAGCAGGTGCCGCCGATGCCCCACACGTTGGCGTGGACCGCGGAACTGCAATCGCAAGCTTGAGCGACTCGCCGCAATGCGGGCACGTAAGCTCGGACGCATCCCGGGTCTCGGTGCCAAAGCAGCGGACAGTCGGTGGCGTCAACCGAGGCAACGTTGCCATCATTGGCGCGCGCGGATACATCGAGCAGTAGCGAGCAGCAGTCGTGAGGCGGCTATGGCGGGCGGCCACGCGGGGCATTGCGCGGAGGTAGCGGCCGAGGCGCGGAAGGACCATGATCGGGCGTGGCAGGAACACTTGTGTCGAATTTTCGCCGGAGGTTATCGTGCTTTAATCCTCATAATTAAATTTGTATACAAAAACCAAGTGAACGCTACAGACACGACCAAAAGATTGCCGTCGGCTTGCTGGCCTCCAAGGGGCGCGGGCGGTCGAGGAGCTCACCATGTAGTGTCATCGTGCTGGAGGATCGCCACCTGCGCGCAGGTCGACCGACACAAGAGGCTGCCCGTGCGCGGTGCATGGATGGCGAGGCCCAACGTAGCGTCGTATATTTGGCCCGTGGCCACCCGTCGCGCCGACGAGCGCAAACATCATGTTTACCGCTTCGTATCTACTCTAGGATCTACTCTTCCGGGCCAAAGGCGAGCGAGTGCAGGGCAAAGAGCAAGAAGAGGACGCCGCCGACCACAGTCACCGTCTTCTCCGAGATGCGCGACGCGAGGAGCTTGCCGCCGACAACGGCGAGGCCCGTGCACATCGAGTGGCCGAGGATCGCACCCAACGTCACTAGACCAAGATGAGACGCAAGAAGAGGCGGAATAGGGCGTACCGCCAAACGCATCGTTCGCGGCCGCGAGCGTAATCGTAGCAATCTACAAACGCTGAGTTTGGAAGGCAAGGATCACGTTGCGTACCTGGGACCGGTCGCCCCACTCAGCGAGGAAGGTGAGGAAGAAGGCTTGCGAGAAAACCTTCATCGTACCCGACGACGGGCCGATGGGCGCGCCGCCTTCAACCGACTCGACATCTTCGGCGTTCTTCTTGCCCTCGAGCTCTTCTTCGACCTCGGTGAGCTCTTCCGACGGACCGCTACATGACGAGTTGTATCCGTAAGCTAGAAGCGAGCGATGGCCTACTTGGCGTTCATCTCGCGCGAGTCGTAGAGCATCTTGAGACCGAAAAACACAAACTAGACGATGCTTGCATGAGCAAGAGGTCAGAAGCAGCATGGCAACGTCGTACCAAGAAGGCGCCAGCATAGTGTGTGAGGCGCGGGGGCAGGAAAAAGGCGGCAACACCACCGAGGACGACTGAGAGCACCGTCATGACAATGAGCGCCCCGATCGCACCGGCGAAGACAACGATACGATCATGCTTCATCGAGAGAATCGCGGCAATGAAGAAGGTCTTGTCGCCAACTTCGGTCGCCCAGATCGTGATGATGCCACTCATAAAGCCCGACCAGAACTTGTTGACCTTGTTCTTCACGCGTTTGAGGCCTGTGTTGTTGGCGTCGTCGTCGCGGTCGCGGTTGCTGGCAGCGGCGAGCGGCTTGACGCCACTGCTGGGCGCGAGGAGCGGGTCGATGGCGTCACGGACGCGCGCCGACCACTTGTCGAACTCGCGCCTCTGGAGCACACCATCGTGGTCCTCGTCGGCAGCGTCAAAGGCGTCGCGCTGGCCCACGACGGAGACCAGCGTCAGGAGCAGAAGCAGGAGCACCGGACTTGCCTTCATGTTCACGAGCGGTGAAATCCGGGAATATTATGGTGCGCCCGTTGAACCCCCCAAAGCGGATACATCGAACGTATCCACTTATAAAGGCAATCGCTGGCACGCTCGGATTGGCGCAACAGGATGATGGCGGCGATGGCTGACGGTCCTCGCCCATGTAGCCGCATCCGCCCGGGCGGCGGCGAGTGTCTACGTTCTACGCCCTAGTGGCTCTACCTCTCCAGCGTGTACGTTGGTCTCGTGGCCGCGCTGTGCTGCAGGATGTCTCTACCTTGGCATTCTACCACACACGCCGCGGACAGCCATGCTGCAACACCATACCACCCACACCTTTGCAGAGACAGAGTTTAAATGTACATTGCATTTATGCATACGGCCGCCACTAGTCTTGGAGCGGTACGGCCGAGCGCCACGACCCGGCGTGCACCTCGGTGTCGGGGATGCTTGGCATGCGCAACGCGACGAAGCGCCAGAGCTTGAAGTCGAGTGCATACATGCGGCCGCGATAGCGAAGCGTGAGCAAGCCCGTGATCGCCGCCGACGCGCGGTCCAGAAAGTAGACGCCGTTGGACGTCCGGCTCGAGTGTTCAAAGAGGTACTTGGCGCCAGACGAGAAGAGGAGCGACGTGGCTTCGCACGCTCGCGGCTTGCGGCTGCGGAAGAAAATGAACCGAGTGCCGCAATAACACAGTACATTCCATCCCAACACGATGCCGACCAAGACGCCGAGGCGCTCGACCTGGCCAATCTCAATGGTGCCGCCGCGGCAGACGACCTGGAGATCGACCTGCGGCAGGTCGCAGTCAAGGCCGAGACGCGTCGTCGGCGCCACGGGCGCAGCGAACGAGAGGGCGGCGGCCGTGACCCACACGGCTACGCTGTTGAACGTCGCATAGTACGCCGTGTAGCCTCTCGTGAAGACGATCATAATGTCGTTGACAACCGCGACGAGCCACGTGACCTCGCTCGCGGCGAGCAGCGTCTTGTACCACGGCATGGTCACAATAGCGAGCGTCGAGACGCGGCCCGAGAAGCCGAGGGTGACCGTGCTCGTCGAGAGAAGCGTGAGGGCCGTGACGCTTCGCAGCAGCAGGAACGGTCGACCGATCCAAACGTGGCCGCCGACACGCGCCAGCTCGAGCATGTTGAGGCCTTGGATGTGGCCGCGCGCCGCGACAATGTAGCCGCCCGTGATGACCGCGAGGACGATCATGACAAACGTGACGTAGAGCACGCCCGCGCGAAAGTAGCGCGCGATGTTTGTCGACACTTCCCACGCCAGCACGTCCTGCGCCAGCGGCGCCTGGAGCTCCGAGATCAGGTTGAGATGCCCGACGTCCCCGACGAACGCGACGACCTCCCGCTGCCCCATGGCCCAGTCAAAGATATAGTTCCACCCGAAAAACGAATACGTTGCGTCGTTGCTGTTGACGATGTTGATGTGCCAGAGCTCAATCGGGGAGGTGGGCGTGAGGCTCGCCCAGACCATGGCCCGGATGTCCATGGCTGCGATCTGCGCTGCGAGCGCTGCGACCGTTGACGCCGCCACGTCATACTTGTGCGCGCTGAGAAAGGCGGCGAGCGTCACGGGGTAGGCGCCGACGCACGACCCGAGGTTGAATGCGTCGTTGGCGCACACCGCATCGAGCGACGGGAGCCGCACCATCGTGGCCATAAACACGTAAGCGTCGCGCGTCGGCTGGAGCAATCCCGACGTCGGTGCCCCCGACGAGCACGCAGCGTCAAACGAAAAGAACTGCCGCGGGCCCTTGAGTTTCGAGCCGGCGGTTCGCGCGGCGCCGGGGCAGAGGGGGGACCCGCCGTATCCGATGGGTACGAGCTGAAGCCATGCCAGCGGCAGCGGGTACGAGGTCACGATCGGCGTCACGTTGAAGTAGAGGGCTTCGGCGGCCGCGCTGTTGGCCACAGTCGATCGCACGTGCGCCAAGAGGTCGACGATGAAGGTGGCGAGCGCGGGTGGTACCGGCACGTACGTCATGTCAATAGTACCAAACGGACCGAGCGCCGTCGTCGTCAGGATCGCAAAGGCCTCGGGCAGCGGTGCCGCGAGCGTGCCATTGGTCATCATGACCGACTGCAGCGTCGTGGACGAGTTGACGAATGCATAGTTGCTGCTGCCGCGCACGAGGCTCTGTCCGCCAATGCCACTCGCATTGAACGCGACCGCACCGAGGTCATGGCCCAGTCCCCAGTACATTTTGTAGGACGTTTGCTGCGCCGTGCGGAACGTCCCGTTCTGCGCCTGGAGCGTCAGCGGGTACGCGACGCCGTACGCATTCACGATCGCGTAGCTGTTGAGCACGCCGATGCGCTTGTAGTTTTGCCACTGCACGTCGTACGAGCTAATCTTGGCACTGGCCCAGTACGCAACTTCATCGCCGATCGAAGCCTTGGTCGGCGACGCGAGCTTGTTCAAAAGCGCGACGCCGTCGCCCGTCGCCGACAGCGCGCGGCCGATCGCAATGTCGAACGCGTCGCCCCAGCACGCGCTCCACGAAGTCGCATCGATGTTGCGCAGAAGCAGCTCGAGAAAGACGGCGCCGTTAGTCACTTGCGTCGCGCACCGCGCCTGGCGGGCTTGGCTGTGGGCGAGCTCCCACTTGCGAGCCACGTCCACGTAGCAGTAGGGCGTGAAGATCCACGGTGCGTTGCACGCGTCCGTCGAGCGCAGTCCCTCGATGGCGGTCACCACCTGCTGGGCATGCTGCAGCTTGGCGCCAAAGTTGACGGGCGCCGAGACGAGCGCGGTGGTCGCGCCAAAGTAGGCCGGTAGCGCCACTTGCTGCAAGGCGACGTTGTCCGAAGCGACGCCGAGCACGAGCTGCTCGTTGAACCAGTTGGCGATGAACGCGTGTGCGCCCGTCGAGTTGAAGCTGGCCCAGAACACGTCGTTGGCCATGTTGGTCGCCGACACTTGGACGTACGAGACGCTGCCCGCGATGGACGCGAGGATGTAGGCAAACCCGCCGAGGGCTGCGAGCCACGCGATCGCGATGGTCGTGGACGTCGACTTGCGAAGCGAAGAGCCGAGCGTCGATGCGGTGCGATTGGAGCCCTCCAAGGAGGGCGTCTCGAGCGCGACGCCACGCAGCGTCGGAAGCCCATTGGGCAAAACGACCCAGAGCGGCATGTCAAAGAGGCGTCGACGGAGCGGAAGGACGCCGGTGAGGACACACGAGACGTCGTCCAGGACTGCGACCGCGTCGGTGGACTCTGGGAGCGGCGTTAAAAACGTGAGAGCCGCGCCCGAAAGCAGCAAGTTCTTGGTCGACGCCGTCGTCGCCCGCGGCAGCCAGCGCAGCCCGGCGCCAAACGCAACCAGTGGCACCGCCAACTGAACAGCGAGAAGCGTAAAAAAGCGCGGGGCCGACCCGAGCGCCACCGACGCGCTGGAGCACGCGACAGCGTAGTCCATGTTGGTGCTGTCGCAGACGCGGGCGATGGTCCCGACGGGCGAGAGCGGCGCGACTTGGTCGAGGATGAGAAACGCGAGCCAGAGCGCGCACGAGACGACGGGGCCGACGCGGGCCGTCACGGGCGCGTGCACGATGACCATAACGTCTTGGACCACGTACGTCACCCACGTCGCCTCGGCCGCGACGATCGCCGACGCGAGGAACCCGCGCGGAGATAGCGCGAGACGCGTGACGCCATTCTCGACCAGCAGCTCTAGGCGCGTGGAGCTGAGGAGGCAGGCGGCCGCCGCGCCGCGTAGAAACAGCAGCGGCCGACCGACCCACGTGGCCCCAGCGACGCGGTTGAAGAAGGCGAGGTTGCGGCCGACGATGCCGAGCGACGCGTACCAAAGGCAGAGCAGCGCGACTAAGGCCAAGATGGCGCTCGTGGCCGCGATGAGGTAGACGAGAACGACGGTCGCCTTCTCAATGTACCGGTTGCCGCTGCTCGTAGGCACGACCTTGGGCGTCAGCGCCGCCGACATGAGCACCATCGTAGTGACATCCGCTTCGAGTTGCAAGACCTCGCGGCGACCCAGGACCCAGTCGTAGAGCATCGCGCTGCCGTAGAACGACCAGGCAGGCGACGTCGTGTCGAGCAGCGGCTGACGCAGGAGCTCCCCGTTGACGCCGCGAAACGAAAACTGCATGAGTTCGGGGCCAATGGCGAGGACCGCTGTCATGGCGTCCGCAGTCGGCACCGCGGCGCCGACGGCCGTCGCAAGTGTCGTCGCCACCGAGAGAAGATGAATGCACTCTGCGCGGCGCGTCGACGACAGCGCGCACGCGTCCGAAGCCGCCGGCGCCTGAAACTGAAGCGCTAAGACGAGACTGTTCGGGTCATCCAACGACACGGCGAGCGGCGCGCCCGAGTTGCATGCGTCAAAGAAGTTGATCGTCTCCTGCGCGAACGCGGTGCCAGCGTTGCGCGTGCAACCCGGGTTGCCGCCGTAGTAGACACGCGTGCTATCCGCTGTCCACGCTGGCGGCTGCGGCGTGAGCACCACAGCCTTGGCGCGCACCAGGTCGTACTGCGCTTTGAGGTCGCGCTTGCTTGTGATGGCGTTGGCGACAACCGCCTGCACGGCGTCATAGACCTTGCGAAGTGCGGGCGGTGGCGCCACGTAAACGATGTCGACCGTCAAGAACGGCCCGATCGTGTCGTGAAAGAGCTGCGGCACCGGGTCGAACGTGCCGTCGGCGCGGCTGTTGCCGTTGATGAGCGCGAGGTTGTTGCGCGTTCGATTGAGCCCAAACCAGTTGGACGACGACGCAATGAGGCTGCGGTTGAAGGTCCACATGGCCCAGAGGTCGTTGAGCGGCTGCCAATACATGTTCTCCGAGCTCCACGGACCCGAAGCCGTCGCCGCGCTCTTGACGGCAAACGTGTGCGGCATCCCGAGCGCGTTCAAGATCGTAAACGATTCGGTGATGCCCGTCTCGGTCTTGTCTTGCCACAGCATCTCAAAACGCTGGACGCCAAACGACGTCCAGTACGCGACCTCGTCGGCCGCCGAGTGCGTCGGAAGCGCGGCGGCCGTCGTCGCCAGCCACTGCTGCCCGGCGCTGGTCGCTTGGAGCGGCCCGAGGAGACCGATCGAGAAGGCCTTGCCGGGCCCGGCCCAAAACCCGAGAAAGTTGCTCCACACTTGGTTGCGGAGCGTCGCTTCGAGGTACACGGCGGCGTTGGTCGCGTACTTGGTCGCGCACCGCGCCTGCCGCGCCTCCGTGTGCGCAATCTCAAACGACTTGTTGAAGTCCACGTAGCAGTGCTGCGTGTTCATGCGCAGCGACCACGCCGGTGAGAGCGTCCGAAGGTTGCGCACCGCGTACTCGAGCGACTGGAGTTCGTGGAGCACAAACTGGCGCGCATACGCCGGGTACACGAGGCTCGACGAGACGGGCGACGTGTACGACTTGACCATGACGGCGCTCAGCAGATCCAGGGGCGCGCCGTCCGGAAGGCCCGGGTGCAACAGCTTGTTGGCCACGTCCACGATAAACGCTTCGTGGCCGCTGAGGTTGTAGCCGGCCCACCACATGTCGTTCGCAAACGTCTCGCCGAGCTGGACGACGTACCAGAAGCCACTGGCAATCGACACGAGCATGTAGCCGAGGCCGAGCAGCGCTTCGAGCTTGCCCCAGCGCTTTGTTGGCAGCGTAGCCAGCGTCGGCGACGCCGCGATCGGCTCGGCGGGACGCACGCGGAGGCTCATTACCGGCGGTTCCATGTCCCTTGGCGCCAAAACCACAAATGACGCTAGA